ACACAGCTGTCCTAAGATCACATAGGACAACGGCATGATCTGAGAAATATCTCTCTATCTCTGGTTCTTTCGCTACTATGACATCAGACTGCCGGGTGATAAGTAAATCAAGGGTGTGACCATGAGTGTGAGTGGGTTGTTTTACATGTTGTTGCAGGCCCATTGAATCCAAGAGATCTCTAAATTGTATGGCATCCATATCCGTAGGCACGTCAACATGTATGTTAAAGTCGCCCAAGAGGACCAGCGGCTCATTGGTCATAACAACAGATTCAAGGTAGTGAGAAAATTCTGCAAAGAACGTACTGATTGAAACTGGATGAGCAGGTGAAGAAGGCGGCCTATAAATGATTACAATGCGTAGCCGAGTAGATCTAACATCAACAAGCCACTCTGACAACTCAAAAGATGACTTCTCGATACAAGATATTTTGCTAGTGACAAAACCTTTCCTCACAAGCAGTGCAGTTCCGCCACCCCTTCTGCCAGATCGTGGACAGTGATAAAGAGTGTTGTACCCCGTCGGGGTAAGTTCATTAAGAACAGCACAGTCGTTGACGGACAACCAGGTCTCACAAATTGTAAACAAATCGGCTTTCAAATCATTCACCAATTCAACAAAGGCTGCTGATTTATTCCGTAACGATCTAGCATTCAAACTGCATATTTTCAATGACATGTTGTCACTGAGTGACATTCCACTCCGCTCCACAGTAATAAGATTGTTTGGGTTGCGGGTTAACGGACCATTGGGACCAGGGTTCAGTTTGAAAACAATGTCATAAATCATCACACAGCGGAATGCCGCACTGCAATTAGAATAGTACAAACAAGGGCGATGACAGCGCTTGATTCTGGTCATCACCTTGAGCATTGTCGAATTCCAGTGTGGAAAGAATAAGAACATGTTATCTGTAATCCCAAGGGCCAGGCAAAACGACGCACTATTCCAATCAGAACCAAAAATGTTCCTTGATAAATCGCCCCATTCTTGCTTTCCAGGAGATATTTTAAAACGAAGACTAGACGAGCAACCACTTAGAGAAACACTGAGCCCACTTTCACGGTTCCAGACCCAGTATGATAGCAGCAGAAGATGTAAAAAGCGAGAGCAAAGCTCACCGTGTCCGCCCATCATTAACATTCCATCTGAAATACACCGTAATTGCTACTGATTATAATTCTCTACAAGCAGTTCATTGAGCTCAGCTTGGTGATCAATTGAAAAGCGGTCATAGTGGTTGCCATGGTGAAAATCATCTTCACCTTCTTCTGAAGGCGCGAGAAATACGCCAAGCATTTGGTTCTTCGTATCTGTAAAAAAAAACCACGGAACGAAACACAACGTTAATAACAAACACACTCCTACTTTGTTCAAAAAAATCTTAATTTCTTTCCCAATGATGTAAAGTTGCATAACAACAACAACAAACATTCATTTGGAAGCTATGCTTCAAATACCGGTATTCTGATTTGACTAATAAATGAGCTTTCATTGCTAACCGGCTGATAGCCCACGTATATTCAAAAACAACGTGAAGTTACTTTAGTTATTTCAAATGCCAGTCCTCACCTGTTGTACAACGGCTCCAATCTCTCCTGTCTTTTACGCTTGCTCAGTTTGGTGGGATCGCCCATCTTAAAGAACGCGGGCGCAAACTCGACCAGCCATTTTGGATCTACAGTAGTGACCTCTCTCATGTACTCCTTAGTTGTTAAAACGAGCTCATGATACACCACCCACTCCGGCTGCCGGTTGAACAGCGCACTGGATGGATGGATGTACACCACCTGGTTATCCGTCACAGTGCGGTAGCCTTCCTGTGGATCTTTTCTGGCGGCGTTACGGAAGAAACCGCTCGTGATGGCTTTTTGCGCCCGGGATGTCGTCTTGCCACAAGACACCACGTCAAGCTTGTGTCTAAAAATGCAATTGATATGATTAGACCCACACCACTAGAGCTTATCTTAGTAATAGTATAAAGGGCGGATGACGGATAAATCGGACAAGTGATTACAAACCGCACTGCGCTATCCACGGAGTAACGATTTATCCCTTGGATAACGTTATCCAACCCTTGAACAACCGAGGCCAGTACGATAACGCCTATGCTGCTCCGTCTCTCGATATTCAACTGACTACTACGACTGGAAACGAGATCGGGTTTAAGCATAAGATTTCGAGAGCTAGGTGGTTCTAATGCTGGGATTGCATGATGATTGAACAACCGATTCATTTATTTATTACAAGACATTTTTGCAGTTTTTTTCTACACTGCAGAGGAAAAAAAATTGGCAGATTCTTTTCGTACATGTAAGGTTCTCCCATGAATCATTCTAGATACGAACCAGTACCTGTCCATAATACCAAGCATTTGTTTTCTGATGTCTTGAGCGCGTCTCAGTGACCTGGCCTGCACAAAGTTCTCAAAGCACCATGGATTCGAGAACTTGTTGTTCTTCCAAGAGTTGTAAACAGCGAGTAATGTAAGGTGGTCTCCTTCAGCTTGGTGAAATTTAGCTTTCTTTTGATCAGCAAGTGCCTGCTTGTCCTATAAAGAATTAAATATTAGCATGCCATGCACGCAAATTAGTTTTTTTTTGAATGGGTGGGTAAGATGGAACACTTTGAGTAACTGTTTGTTTCAATTTTGTAAAGAAAACGAGCCTTTAACTTTCAAAGTTTCCAACAAAAAGATACCCTTCCAATTGATATGTTGTAAAATCAGACACTGATATTTTGTGATCTGTTGTCACTATTATCTGAACAGTTCTAAGCAGAAATCAACTGCACTGGTGCTACGCTTACTGTACTTTCTGAACGCGCCCTCTCAGACCAAACAACGGATGCAAAGGAGACTGCGGAAACTCAGTTGTGTGCGAGATACATAACCTAAAGCGGCGATCTTATTGGTGCGAGATACAAACCCTCATGTGGCGATCTGATTAGTGTGAGATACATACCCAATTGCGGCGATCTGATCTGTACGAGCAACATACCACTAGATACGCTAAGATAGTTATTTCTTTTTAATACATAAAAAATACTCAAAAAGAACACAGCACGTCAGAATCACAACTGAGTTTAAATCGCGTTGTAAACTTTGAAACGCGATACTTCTTTTCTTAGTTTTGTAACCGACACGATCTTTCTCGATGAGGCTACTCAAGGGTGGAGGAGGGGGTTGCATTACTCACCTTAGGCCTGTAAAAGACGTTTTGTACAGAAAGCATGGAAACAATGGTGAGCACCTCGTCACTGCAACCTAGATGTACCGACTGAATTAACATCTTCGACAATTGTGGCTCCAGAGGAAACTCCGCCATTCGTCTTCCAAGTCTAGTTAACAGGCCCTCATCGTCCAAGGCGCTTAGTGAGTGTAACTGTTCCATAGCTGAAATCATGGTCTGACGATAAAATTTTTATTAAATCGACTGCTATAAAGACTTTCGTCAGACATTTAGCTCAATTTCCGCTACCTCTCTCTCGACCCACGGTCTTCGTTTTCGGCGTGGACCACGAGATCATTTCCCGAACACCAGCTGGTCATTGAGCCTAACTATACATGAGCACAAACTTAAAACAGCAAACACTTTACCTGAGCTTTGATTTTATCAACTGAGTTGATGATGAAAATTGGTCACCGTTAAGAGTTTCAAAGCTGACGTTTCGAGCGTAAGCCGTTCGTCATTCGCTCTGACGAACGGCTAACGCTTGAAACGTCAGCTTTCAAACTCTCAACGGTGGCCAATTTATGTTATCGACTCAGTTGATAATACCAAATAAACTGTTGTACTCTCCCACTGACGCAGCACCACAGTCTCTTAAGAAACTTACCCCCTCTTTATTCATTTTACTCCTGCCTTTGCTTGTTCTTATTCTACAGCAAAACCCAACCGTTGACGCTTCGAAGCTCGGATTTCGAGGTCAAACAACGTTAGAACTAGAACTTAATTTATGAATACCTGAGAATTCGGGTCGCTCTTATTGGTCGATAGGAATGTTTACAAAAGACTACATTAAATAAAGGAAAGAAAAACACGGTTGTGGCCTTTTAGATCCTCGCGTATTTTTGAAATATCTCTATAGAAGCAAAAGAGGACTTCTTTCCGTTTTTACAGAGCCTCGTCTAAACACTCGAAGGGCTAGAGTTATTCTCGGAAAAATAAGTAAACCCTCTACTGCGTCTAAGGCCTTCGCAAATGTTTCGAATTCTCCTAAACCGCCTTGTAAACACAGAAAAAGTCCTTCGTCGTTTAAACATTCGACGCAATACTTCCTTCCAAATTTATTTTTGCCTATGAACTCTTCAGAGAATAATGAGTTGCAACATTATTCTAACACTTTTACAGATCCACGTTGCCTATGTGGTTGAAACTCAAAGACCCACTAAGCCATCAGATTTCAATCGAGAACATTTCAGTTACGTGCCCCAAAACCAAAACCGAAACCAAAACCAAAATTATAATGACTTTTCGGAAAGAAAATATTATTACTCTAACTATTCAATGAGAATTTCAAGTTGAAGAAACAGCTTCACGCGCTAAAAAACGCAAATGACCGGGCCACTATTGTCTTAATTTTGCTTCAGAATCGGTCGAGAGAGCGGCTTGAGTTTCTAAATCATTTAGCCTAAAGAAGCAAACCCTTTGCCTTCCAATTGAGAATTGATCTGACGGGACTCTCACAGTGAGAAGGGGAACACAATACAATACCTCCATGGGCGGTGGATCCATAAAATCAAAGGAGAGCAAATCATTTACTCCCATAGCCTTGAGTGACAGTATAGTGCTTGCCAAGTTAGTTCTCTGGATTTCAGGTACAGCGGTCGGCAGCATCTCATCTCTGTACGCACGCTCCGTGTACAGTCGATAGCATTTACCAGGACCCGTTCTTCCCGCGCGGCCAGAGCGCTGCTTAGCTTGAGCCTAGAATAGTTGTTTCAATATACTTAATATTGAGTGTACAGTTTGAAATGCTTGGGATACCATGTAATTTCAAAGTCTCTTGATACGAAAAACTAGTACCTCTGAAAGCGAAATGCGAAACAGCTCTGAAAAAACAGCCGAACAAGAAAAAACAACAACTGGACGTGAAAAAACAACAGCAAGCAAGATATGAACCTGCGAGATAGGAGTCACGACCAAAGCGTCAATTCCTGACTTGGAGTTGTAGACTTTCTGCTTTACAAATCCCGGATCAACCACATAGTAGATACCGTCAATTGTTAACGATGTTTCAGCAATGTTAGTGGCAATTACCACCTGTGATAAAATAACAACAAAATCAATCCAGAAAGTAGATCTTGTGCACGTTATTTTTTATTGTCTGTTAAAGTAAAAGTGGATTGGTTTTGCACATAGATAAACTAACAAAACATTTAATTTACGCTTGGTCAAAAGCACGTATTTATTAAGGGTGTCAACTACAGACTTTGAGATGTTATTGTGGCTGGTTTTGTACCTTTCTGCTGCCAGGTGGGGCGGGGTCAAATATTCTGGTTTGCATCTCCGATGGCAAAGCACTATAAACTGGCAGAATAATCAACTCAGGAACATCCGGTCCTAAGCTTTTCATACGCTCGTACAAAATCTCACATGCTGTGTCAATTTCTTCTTGACCTGGAAGACAGAAAATAAAAACCGGTTCGGGGTCATTGATAGTCTTCCTCTGAACTTACGCTGAGGGAAATCTAGTTGGCTGTGCCCTGACATGAAGTTTCTTTTAGTTAGGAAATTTGAACAATGCAGGAGAAAATCAGCTAATAAAGTCAATGGAAAACTCACCGCCAAGTGACCTAGAACAAAACTCTTCAATAGTAAACAGTAAATAGCTCTGCTATTGTTAATCGGGGCACGTAGATCAGTAGGTAAATCTGATACAATCAGGGAGTAGGTTTCAACCACCGCGACAAATTTTCGAGAGCTCATAACAGGAAGGCGTTCATGCAATTTTCCTTTTCTCTGGAGTCCTTTTTTCGTGAGTGGAAGGTTCTAATCGGAAAAAGGAACGAAATGCGCCTATACAAAGGTAACCGAGTATAATGGAAACAATGCTAACGGAAACAGACAGCAGTTCTTAAAACAAAGTAACGCAACGGCCAATCAGTCAAAAGGCTAAAAAGAACAAGACAGTGAGAGCTCAAAGTTAAAAGATTGCCATAAGAACAAGAAAATTCACTGAGTTACCCGATGGTGATACGTCTACGTTTTTGAATCTATTTGTTTTAGGGGACGTCGCGCTTGTTTATTTGGACTAGTCACTCATCATAGGCATACCAATGAAGTACCGATTTACTTTCGACATTCGATTGAAAATTGCCCTTAAAACTGAAAAGAAAACAAGAATCTGTCCAATACCAACCTGTCAAAAACACAAGAATATCTCCTGGCGGCTCAGTCAAATGGATCTGCATGACCGTGATAAGGGATGCATCCAGGTAATCTGTCTCTGCTTCTTTTGTATACAAAATCTCCACAGGAAAAGTCCGTCCTGGGATCGTGAAAATGGGAGCCTCAAAGAAATACGTTGAAAATTTGACTGCGTCCAGCGTGGCCGAGGTGACAATCAACTTCAAATCGGATCGCTTTTCTACAGTTTTCTTCATCAATCCGAAGAGTACATCGGTATTTATCCCGCGCTCGTGTGCTTCGTCGAGGATCACGATGGCGTATTGATTTAAATCCGGGTCGAGAAGACACTCCCGAAGCAGCATACCGTCCGTCATATATTTGATCTTTGTCTCCGAACTCGTACAGTCTTCAAATCGTATGGTGTACCCTACTTCCTGTCCAAGTCGACAGCCGTACTCTTCTGACACTCGTTTGGCGACTGACATAGCTGCCACTCGCCTTGGCTGAGTACAAGCAAGTTTTCCGGCGCTTAGAAGGCCTTCCTCTGCCAGATACTGTGTTATTTGTGTAGTTTTCCCACTCCCAGTTTCACCAATGACGATCAAAACATGGTTTTCAATCACGGCCTTTTAAAACAGAAAAAAGAACTTAAAGAGCTACTTTGTTCGAGCAGGTTGAATCTGCCTATTACGAGCATTGCTGTTTCGGTTTTTACCAACAAACCGCAAAATACTTCATAGGTGAGTATTCCCTTAAATTCCCCTTCCCCTCCCAAACGGTTAACCGGCCAAGGCAGAAAAAAGAATATCCATGTCAGTACAACCAACCTGTATGATGCCGCCAGAACGGTTAATTACTGTTGCCAGAGCTTAGATGCAAATGCTTTAACAAACCTATCTTTACCATCAACATCTTTTATGCCAAAACAAACCTTTAGCAACTCTTCTCGAAGCTTGTAGATTGGTAATCCTTGCCTCTGTTCCAGTATACTCAAATTTGTTTTCTTCCCGTATGAAGCTTTATTCCCACCAAATGTAGCTCGTTTCCATTCAGGCATATCTTCATTTGTCAATCCAACTCCTCGCATATCTTGAGCGAAGATTGGCTTATCACCATCCACTGAACAGCAACAAACAAGACTATTAC